ATGCTCTATGTAATAAATAAATAAATGACTGTTATCAGTGGCAATTGCATTGTCAGATGGGTAATAGATAGTAGCCTAATCTACATATCATGTTCAACACTTTAACAACCTGTTTATGAATTTTACATAATTTCCACCTATATATACGAAAACCTACTGAACTCAGATAATAAAAATATAGAGTTGGAGGTTGTTCTATCAGTTCACACCTCTAATTCTAAATTAAATAGCCCCGCATTTGTTTGTGGATCCGCCTGTTGTGGCGATCGCTTGGTATATAAGAGAGCAACATTTGATCATTATTGGCATCTGAATGGTTGAATACAAAGTTTACCGGTGTTACAACTGATTTTGACAGTTTCGGGAGTAGATTTAGTTGCAAGAAGTCTGCTTTCTCTCTGCATGTTCCTGTTTCAGGCTACCTCCACCTAAACAGAGTTTATTTCAAATTATTTTTATCAAATAGTTTGTTTGTTTTTTAATCGGGGTTTTTTTTTTTCATTTTATCGCTACACTCGAGTCTCACAGAATTTTAAAAAAAACGTGTTTAATTCTCTTAAAATCGAATGTACATCAATTTTAACACTGGTTTCAATAACTGCTCTGCAAGCAAAACATTATTTTGGCGTTATTCTTAAATTATACTGAGTTAAGCGCATTTTGATCAGGCACCCTCCTCGCGTGATGTCACTACTTTCTGAAGGCCCCGCCCAGTCCAACAGGAAGACAACAGACCTGTAGTGGGATGCTAATCTGAGGCTGCTGGCGCTAATTATACGTACAGTTTTCGTCCAAAGCCGACGCAGCTTTTAAAATGCCATTATTTGATGGGCTCGGAAGCGGAGGAGAGAAGACTGCGATTGTTATTGACTTAGGAGCAGCATACACAAAGTGAGTATCAACCGTTAGCCCGCCCTGCTAATAGAGCCACTGAGCTAGCAAAATATGCTAAAATGCATCTTTGTTTTCTGAAATAACTCGCCCGCCTCTCCAACTATAGGTGTATTTTTGGGAACTGAAGACTTAAAGTCTAACACATCGTTACATTTGACCCAAAAAAACCTACTACAGTTTTGGTAGTGAATGCTGATGGGGGCTAGCTTGTTAGCCACGTAGCCAATGCTAGGCTAGGTTAAGTAACTGTCAGCATTCAGCTAGCATTTTTTAAGTTAATGCCAAGTGCTATCAATGCTAATTTAATAATTTAAAAGCTCTCTCACTAGACCTTAAACCTTCATCTTTCGACTGCTTCTTTTAGAGCTCGCCACAGCAGATCACCTGCCGTCTCTCATACCCTATTTCTAGGACTGCCTATCGCTGTCACACCAACTCACTGCGTGTCCTCCTTCACTACATCTTCCCTGGCAGCTCCATTATCAACATCCTTTGTCCACCATCCCTCCTCTGCATATGTCTAAACAATCTAAACGTTGCGTCTGTAACTTTACCGCCAGTCCTCACATGTGTTGTATATTAACGGGTATTTATAGTGAGCAAATGAATCTTTATTTACTGAAAGCATTTCAGTGTCATTTTTGTTGTATTTTGCTGGAAGGCAAACAGACATTAAGTCATGTGAAGATCAAGAGGACTGTTATTATCTTTTCAAATACTGTCGTCTTTGTTTGCAGTTACTGCCACAGAACATCCAACACAAATATGCACTGTTGTTTTATTTACAACTAAACTGTGGTGCCTTTGCTCTTTTTATTAAATGACTGTGTCTTTAGAAATACGTTTTTGGTTTTCATAAAGTTTGAGGGACCTAAAATTATAGTATTTAAAACAGTTACTGGTAATGATTATTATATAAATATTGATATTTTCAGCATCTCCTATTATGCCAGCTGACAGCTTCCTTTTCTCACAGATGTGGCTTTGCAGGGGAAACGGGGCCCAGGTTCATAATTCCGAGCGAGATCCGCAAACCGGGACAGCAGCAGGTGAGAGTCTGCCGTGTTCTGCTTAGTGGAATTATGTAGAATGATTTGTGGAAATGGAATAAACAAAAACATTTGGTGATTTGGTATTTGATTTCTCATATTCAGGCAGTCAAAGTGGTTCAGTACAACATCAATACAGAAGAGCTTTATGTCATCCTCAAAGAGTTTATCCACATACTGTACTTCAGGTGAGATTCTTCTCCAATAAATGACTAGGTTATTGTAGTTCTTTTTTTCTTGCGGCTACATCACATCAGAGTTTGTTTTCCCGTTTGCCTCATTAGGCACCTTCTGGTGAACCCTCGCGACAGAAGAGTGGTCATCATCGAGTCCATCCTCTGCCCATCCCACTTCAGGGAGACACTCACAAAGGTTTTCTTCAAACAGTTTGAGGTACGAAAGCAGAGACACGTGCTGGGATCAGACCAGTTAATAAAGAAAAACAAAGACCCAACACGACAGAGCACCATCAACTCTAAACAACAAGTCAGGAAAGATTTCTTTTCTCAGTTTGGTGCACAGCTGTCATGGAAGCATAAGCTTTGAGGTCTTGATGTGTGTCATCAAGTTCTTGGCACACGAGTGCACAAAAGTTGATTAGCAGAGAACAGCAGGTGTCCCCGTCATTCTACCTGCCCTAGTTCCTTGAACTGCTGCGCTTCGTCTCTCCTCCTGCAGCTGAGCTAAAACCACACTTGATGATCACAGTGTAATCCACTTAAAATTAGCTCTTGTTTAAATCCCTCCTTATATTTAATTAATTTGACCTGATTTAGAAGAGGTAACTAATGCATTTATTATGATAACTACTGTTACTTGATGCAGACAAATTATTTTGCCTATTGGTGCCTCATATTTAAGTTTTTTTTTTTTGTTTGTTTGTTTTTTTGTAGTTCATGCTCAAGGTTGTGTATGAAAGTCATGGCATCATTGAGTATGCTCTATGTAATAAATAAATAAATGACTGTTATCAGTGGCAATTGCATTGTCAGATGGGTAATAGATAGTAGCCTAATCTACATATCATGTTCAACACTTTAACAACCTGTTTATGAATTTTACATAATTTCCACCTAAACTTTATAATAAACTAGAACAATCTAATAACTGATAAACAAAATGATTATGTTAACAAGGAAATTTTAGTTGGTAGAGGAATTTCTAAAGTTTTACTCCATGAATGATTTCATTTTCTAGGTGCCATCTGTGCTATTTGCTCCCAGTCACCTCATGGCCATCATGACTTTAGGCATCAACTCTGCACTCGTGATGGACTGTGGTTACACAGAGACGCTGGTGCTGCCCGTATCCTTTTCCCATCATGAGCGTGGTCTCTAGAACAGTGAACAATATGGTCTGCTATATACATGCTATATGTTTTAATTAATGCATCTTACACATATTTACTATTTGGCAGGCATTATTGTACTGTTAGCTTCAGGTCTAGGACATTTATGATGCTGATCTTAACTCTGGAAATCAGGTTTGTGAGTGTACTCCTATTTTGCCAGCCTGGGAAGCTTTGCCTCTGGGAGGAAAAGCCATCCATAAGTAAGTACTAAAGGTTCTAACAGTATCAGTGTAGTGATTTGTATGATTTTAACTGAGAAAATAATCCATTTGAGTCTCTCTTTCCTGCATAATGATTGAAAATCTTTGACTGTTGAATTGAATCATTTCAATCTCTTGTTTCGTTGCATAAAATGCATGTGTTTGTTTATTGTAGGGAGTTAGACAGCTTTCTCGTGGAACAGTGCACCGTGGACACAGACACAACCACAGGGCAGAGCGTACAAGCCGCCATTGGTAAATACTGAAAGTCAGCACGCACCGTCTGTCCTCTTCTTTTAAATGGGGACACTTGTGAAGGCATAACTCTGTTATGGACTGCTGATTGGTTTTTACAGTGCCAAGAATAGAAGAATATAATGGCTGTGACCCATTATGTAGCATTTACTATTCATAGGAAGAACTTGTTTCTGTGTGACATTTGAGTGAATCGCTTTTTCAGTTTGTGAATTATGCATTATGCATACAGTCTATTTTAGAGATTCTCTCCACACTTTTTCTTGATGGAGGCAACCAGACTGAGTATATTGAGTTGAGCTGTGAGATCTACAGCTGCAGCAGAATGAGAAAAGATGCGCGCATATATATATATAATTTAAAAAGACAACAGGGTGTCTGTCTAGATGGGTCATA